ATATATATATATATATATATATAAACGTAAAATCGAGCTCTAGCTTGAATTTAAATTTTGATATTCTTCATTTTATATTCCAACAACACTCAGCACTTTCCTGTCACAAATAACCTGACTCCAGTGAGTAATACCACTGAACAATTTATCTAACTTGGTTCACAGCCCTTGGCAATCAAAAGTTGCTCTGGTGCTCTGTGGCAGGTACATATACTGCAGTAAACTAAGAGAGCACAAGGAGAGCTCTTGTGCTATACTTGGGTTTGATCAATCAAGCCAAGAGGAGGGAAGCTACTGGCATCTAGCAGACATAAAGACTTTCACAGGCACAGCACACAGCTCAGGAGAGAACATCAGACAGATAACCAAATGGAACCCACACACACTGGGATTGTCTGGGTGTCTGTCTCACATACTGTGAGACAGTTTGTTTTTTAATGCAGACAATGTTCAAATCTGTCTGACTCTTGGTGTCTCCCCAAGGGCATCCTTCAAGAAACAACATGTGCAGAGAGAGAGTGCATTCAAGAGATTTTCCAATATCATTGCAATCGCTCATGGTAACACTGCAATAAGTTTGTTTTATAGATATAATAAGGCACAGCATAAAAATAAAATGTTGGTAAATTTTGTAATCATGGGAAATCATGTTAGCAGTCCCACCCACAGTTTGCAGACTTAAAATGAAAAAAAGTTTGCTACAACACAGGAAAGAAAGAAAGAAAGAAAGAAAGAAAGAAAGAAAGAAAGGCAGAAAGAGACTTGTATAGAGCTGATGACTATCTGGGAGAAAATGAAATGCCATTCCATGCAAACATGGAAAGTGAAATTACTTTCTATTCAGGTTGTTATTCATCAAATAAAAGAAATAATCCTGCTTTGGCTGACATTTACCAACTCTCAAACAACATTACACTTCGGCCATGAACCGCCTGGAGTGGATGATGGCTGAAACTGTGCAAACAGATCCTAATGACATTGAGATGAGGGTATCCGAGTCTGAGAACGGGTTCTGGCAGAGGCCATGGAGCAAGTGTAGGAAAAATAATCATCATGAAGACAAGAAGTCTCAGCCCACAGCGGGGAGATGTTCCACCTTTTAACCATCCAAGCCCCTGAAGCAAACCTTGATATTTTACAACCGAGCAAGGGGGGGGGCACAATGTTCATAAACACTACACTACCTATCTTTATTCCCTTCATGCTAGCTTGACAAAAGTTGGATGTCTGAGGCCTGAGCAGTGAGAGCTTGATGTAGCAAACCGTGGAAGGGTTGGTTTAACCAAGGATCTGCTTCATTTTTTCTATAAAAGCCTGGCTTGGGCAGAGAAAGCTGGGAAATGTCTGGGGGTCTTGTGGGTCTCAATATAGTCCAACTAAAGAGCTCCAAAGCAGCACTGTAAGATAAATATTTCCTCTCGGTCGCAGCACTGTTCATAGTGGCTACTGAATGGAAAATGTATTAGAAAAGGAAGCGTGTTGGTCACAATAAGAAATCATGTATTTATTATTGTACTCAATAAGCCATCTTTAAACATCTGTCAGATTGACTATACGTATGGTACAGGTAATAATGCAGCGGGAGACAATCCGTATTAAGCACGTAAAAGCTTCAAAGGTAGAAGACTGAAACCAGAACTGGGATTGAGTTTCTTTTTCCATCCTGCCAACAAAAAAAAACACTTCTCAAAAATGGGGAGAAACCCAAGCTCATAATTTCTAGAGTGTGTTTGAATATGTGGTGAGATGCCAGTAATCATGATGACTGATTGAATTATTGTATTTTGGGGTCCTGAGGGGGCACCTAAGGTGCATGCAAACAAAAAAATACGTATATACGTGCTCACACACACACACACACACACACACACAGGAGCGTGAGGGATTTGGGGCATGTACTGCTTAAGAAGTGGGTTGTCTTTGCCAGTACAATAACAGTTCATAAGAAGTTTAGTGGAATCTCAATCTTGACTGAATCATAAGTGGGAAAAAATGTGCTTGTGTCGCTTTCTCGAAATCTCTGCTAAATCCTCTGCTTTTCCTCACCATAACTCACGGAGACACGAAGACTCAGACACGCCAACGGCACAAAATGCAAGAGCTAGATGACCTCAAATTGACCACCTTGGAATGAAAATGCAAAACTTTTACTTGGATGTCTGTAAAATGTCTTTTGACAAACCAATGACTCGAGGTTACCTCTAAACTGGTCATATGATCACAATATTGCATGGTTCTGTGATTGATAGAGGACTGTGAAACTGTTCTGTGGGACAATTTTCATGCAAATGAAGTCCAAGATCTATGATCCAACAACGGTACAAGATATGCAGATTTGCTAAGTATAGTTCATTTAGCATGCAGAACTGCTTCATTTAATTCTGTGGCACGTTCCTAGTCAAACAAACCATCTTAGAGCATTCAAGACCAAACCATCTGGTCAGGAAGCCAAACCAAACACTGCAGCCGACAGAAAAGTTTGTGAACTTGCTAACAAACCAATCAGAGTCTGTCAGACAAATACGCTTTTGCAAGGTTCGTCCTGTACTACTGATCTTCTCAGTGAAGACATCAATAAACATAAAACCAAAGATATCACAAATTACATCAGCCAAACACAGACAAAACCCCCAAAAGACAGCGGTACGAGACAGCGGGTTGGCGTAACTTGGCACTGGGGTCATCTGGAGCGACATCTCTTACACAAACATGTCATGGGGAGAGTACAGTGGTGACTTTGCTTAAACAACAAGAAACCCACAGAGTGATCCAACTGAAACAGCGTGATCTCACGTAAAAGAGCTCAGTTTCAAACATCTTGCCTTCTTTGCAGCTAATGTCAAGAGTTTTGCCCAAAAGAAATGGTTGTTTTTATTTAAATGTTGCACAAACTTGCAGCAAGTTTCACAGATGGGAATTGTGGTTTAGTTGGGAAACTATAAAAAGGCTAAAACACAATACAGGAACTAACAAAATTTAAAGAAATACTTCACTCAAAAATAAAAATAGCTCTATTTCAAAGCAACTATTTGCCGTACAATGAAAGTGGAGGGGGTCTGAGACTGTCAAACCACAAAAAGGGACCAAAAAGCATTAAAAAGTATTGTAAAAGCAGTTAACAACTATAATGTACCAATACAGAGTTTGATGAAAACAGAAAAAGTAACAATGCTAACAGACGAATGTCCTGACAATATAACTGATTAAACTTGACTTGATGTTAAAACACATGAAATTCTCGCATAAGTTTTAGAAGAACCAGACACCTTACACAATGCTATGGCTTTAGACGACTTAAAGTACAGCACAAACATCACATGGATTAGTACAACCACATGAGCAACCAAATAAATAACCAAACTTACATTCTCAAAATGTCGTCTCTCTTAGGCAGAATTGGGAAGTCTGATTCATTTTAATGAATCAGGTTCTTTTCAATGAATCATTAAAGAAAATGATTCACCAATAAACTTGAATCATTGGCTAATGTTCATGCACAGCATTTTACAATCTTTCTTGTAATGAAATACAAGAAAGATTATAATGAAATACAACTGCTCCGGGTGAGTGTTCATGGTGTGTGTGGGTGTGTGTGTGTCTGTTCACTACTCATTGCTGTGTGTGTGCACTTGGAAGGGATAAATGCAGAGCACAAATTCAGAGTATGGGACACCATACTTGGCTACACGTCACGTCACTTTCACCTTCACTTAAATAAATGTTTAGTTAAATACTTCAACTCTATACTTCAGATCTTCCAATGATAGGAAACAGTTGGAAACAACTTGGAAAAGGAAACAAGAGACAATTTTCAAAACAAAAGACAAGCTTTTAAACTTCGAAGAGGTGACAAAATATTTCCCTTTTTTGTTTCATGGAAGAAAGAAAAGAAATTTCTAAATATAAGAGTGAAATGATTAAATGATGACAAGATTTAATTTTGGGGAGAACTGACCAACCAAGGCCTC